GTGCGCACCTATAATCCTAGCTACTTGGGAGGCTGAGGATGGGGAACTGCTTGAACTCAGGAGGCGGAGGCTCCAATGAGCAGAGATCTTGCCACTGCACTCCAGCCTGGGTGAAGGAGTGAGACCCTGTCTCAAAAAAAAAAAAAAAAAAAAAAAAAAAAGAAACATAATGTAAGTATGCTATGAGGTTCTAGTCAGGTGCTACCTTTAACTGTGCTTAAGAAAAATTTTTTTGGTTAAAAGCTTTGAAGGAGCCAGGCTAGTTCCATAAATCTAGGCTATAACCTTACTTTCCTTGGGCAATTTCAATCCATCCCCCCGATAAAAAAAGGGAGGCAGGGGGCCTATTTTATACAAAATACACCTTACTACAATAGGGACTAACTGAAGCACATATTTTCTCCATCTTCTTCACATGGTACGTATTACGTTTCGTACTTCTTTGTATTTACAAAGGTAAACTCACATGTCTACAAATTGCTTTGTATAAGACCTAACTACGCATGTGAAACTCACATTTAATACTGAAAAACAAACCAGCAAATATTTACATAATTACTTTCAGATCTCTAGGCCAAAGTGCTAAAAACTTGGCCATGTTATAAAGCATCATCCGAAGCAGCAAAACCACCTTGATAACAGTGAGCAGGTTTTTAGAGTAAAAAAACAGTTATAATTTGGGAAGAGGATCTTCAGGTATAATCTAGTATATCATTTTAAGACACCTACTAGTTTGTACCCAAGTGCTGAAAAGAGACAATACTGTTAGCAAAATTCTAATGTATTTGTTAATCAAATACTTCAAAGTAATAGTAGGATTTGTTTTTTGGTTTGTTAATGAATTCAAAGTGTTATAATGTTTATATATTTTTAAGTTGTCCCCCCAACAATTACCTTTAATGAGTACTAAATGGTGACTGTTCCATAAAATATTAAAACAAATATCATTTTAAGAAAGCATTTCCTTTCTCACTTTTTAGGATGAGCCACTCAGAATACTTAAGACGGTATACTATAATCAGTTACTACTAGAGCCTTTAGTTTCACACTTTTAAATGAACAGGAAATAGAAAATAGAGAGTGAATACAACACTTTTACCATGTCCACAGCCTAAATTACAAGTGTATTTATTTACTTGATTTTCAACTGCTGAAGAGATAACAGTGGGAGAAAGGGAGTGAAAAATAAAAGGAGAGGAGCAAAATACAATGAAAACAGATTTTAATGGTACTGAAATTTCTATGCCCATCTCTATCATTACATGTAAAAAAGGGGGGCTTTCAAATTTAATGCAAAAATTCTAATGTTTTAATGTGAGATTTTCAAAGACAAACTTTCTACATTAAAGAAATAAACATGTCTCCCTTCACTACATGACTGAATATCACATTTTTTGAGGAATATAAAGCGGAAAATCTGCTAAACTATTAGGGTTTTGGGATTTTTTATTTTTTTTATATAAAAAAGACAAGTTCTTCTATATAAGCAATAATTATTGATACTATCTTACATATAGGAAAATTCTAATTAAGATGCTCGGAGTACCACAATTAAAACAAACAAAAAAAAGATGCCAAGAGTTAGGTGTTTTGTATCTAATACAGAAAAATAATATCAATTCTCAGCAGTTTTCTGTATTATATTTACATGTGGGAAGGCAAGAGTCCAGTTAACAGGTATCATCTATATAGCTTTAAAGTTTATAACACATTCTCAAACACATCATTTTTAAAACACAAAATTAACCAATGATGTATTATATACTTTCTATAATTAATAAACTGGGGCTCAGTGAAGAAAGAAAACTGCTCAAATTCAATAAAGTAGAAATTATCAGAGTTTACATTTCAACTCAGGAATTGAGGCAGTCTATCATATTAGGACATATGTATACTTTATATTCATCTCTACCTTACTCAAGGGTACTATTTTCTCTTTTTTTTCCCTTTGAGGCAGAGTCTCACTCCATTGCCCAGGTTGGAGTTCAGTGGCATGATCTTGGGTCACTGCAACCTCTGCCTCCCGGGCAGAAGAGTTTCTTCTGCCTCAGCCTCCCAAGTAGCTGAGATTACAGGTACCTGCCACTATACCCAGCTAATCTTTATATTTTTAGTACAGACAGGGTTTCACCATGTTGGCCAGGCTGGTCTTGAACTCCTGAACTCAGGTGATCCACCTACCTCGGCCTACCAAAGTGCTGGGATTACAGGCATGAACCACTGCACCTGGCAATTATACTATTTTCAAAGTGGCTAAACATCAATTTATAACCATCTTTAACACTTAATACAAACTACAGTGCCTCGAACATTCAAACAATGATGTCAAATTTTATACTGTCTTGAATTTGAATGTGGGGAAAATTTTCCTTAAATCTAAATTTTAAAGAAAAGACAACTGGTCTCTTCCTTATTTTTAAAAACATCTTGGGCAACATACAAGGGTAAAAAAAACAAAAAAAAACAAAACAAAAAAAAAACCATTGGTTTGAACTAGAAAGAATACAACCAAATCAGAATTCGTTTACCTTAACTATCTGTATACTATTTGAAGATGGCAGAAATTCCCACTTAATATTCAAAAACATACTTTCCACCTTGACTTAACACATCTGCCATATTGATAGCCTTCTCTATGACTTCTCTAACCTACTGAGTAAAGCTAAATCTGCTAGGAAGAAAAGCCAGAAAGTGTTTAATCTGTTAAAAGGATATTTTATCTATAATTCATTGAAGGATACAAGGAATTCTATACTTAGTTGTATGCTTTCTTAAGTTGAACTTGTTATTTAATTCTGTTTGCTTGTTTGTATGTTTTAAGTCTTAACTAACTATATAAACGATACCTCTTAACTGGAAGGAATGAGAAAACAAGCCAAAAACTGGAGAAAATATTTGACAAAGAGATATATGATGAAGGACTGCTATCTAAAAATATACAAAGAACTCTTAAAACTAAACACTAAAAAAAAAAAAAACCCTCAATTTTAAAAATGGGTTAAGAATAAATAGATTCAAAAAGATATACAAGGCCAGGCATGGTGACTTACGCCTGTAATTCCAGCACTTTGAGAGGCTGAGGCGGGTGGATTTCCCGAGTTCAGGAGTTTGAGACCAGCCTGGCCAACATGGTGAAACCCTGTCTCTACTAAAAATACAAAAAATTAGCCAGGCTTGGTGGCGTGCACCTGTAATCCCAGCTACTCAGGAGGTTGAGGCATGAGAACTGCTTGAACCCGGGAGGCAGAGATTGCAGTGAGCAGAGACCACGCCGCTGCACTTCAGCCTGGGCAACAGAACGAGACTCTGTCTCAAAAAATAAAAATAAAAATAAAAATAAAAAGATATACAGATGATAATAAGAATACAATAAGTACATTAAAAATGTTGAACATTTTATGTCATTAGGGAATTACAAATTACAACATCAATGAGACAGCAATACCCACTTAATCAAATGGATTTCAAATATTGGCAACACCAAATGCTGGCAAGAGTGTAGAGAAAAAAGAACTTCTATTCATTGCTGGTAGAAATGGAAAGTGGTATAGCCACTGTGAGCTAAACATACTCATACAATCAAGCAATTGTACTATATTTGTCCAAATAAACTGAAAACTTATATTCACAGAAGAAACTGCACACTGATGTTTACAGTAGCTCTATCCATAATTGACAAAACCTAAAAACTACCTATATGTCTTTCTGTAGGTGCATGGATCAACTGTGTCTATCCAGACAATGAATATTATTCCATTCTAAACAGAAATGAACTATCAAGCCAACAAAAGACATGGAGGAAATGTAAACACATATTACTAAGTGAAATAAGCCAATCTGGAAAATATCTGTGGCTACCAGGAGTTAGGAGGATAAGAGGGATGAACAGGCCAAGGACAGAGGATTTTTAGGATAGTGAAACCAGTTATGCATCATTAACAAAGGGATACTTTCTGAGATATGCACTGTCAGCCTCTTTTATCATTACATGAACAGCAATGAGTGTATTTAAACAAACTTAGACAGTATAGCCTACTACACACTTAGACTATAAGGTATAGTCTATTGTTCCTAGGCTACAACCTGAATAGTATATTACTGTCCTGAATTCCATAGGCAATTATAATACAATGTTAAGTGTTTGTACATCTAAACACATTTAAAATAGAAAAGGTAATACATCATATATTACGACTTTATGATGGCTTTATATATTACGACTTTATGATGGCTAAGAGGTCACTAGGCAACAGTTCAGATCCATTAGCATCTATGGAACCACCATGGTACACACGGTCCATCACTGACCAAAAAGTCATTATGTGGCACATGACGGTATTCTGTATGATACTACAATGGTGAATACATTTGTCAAAACTCATAAAATGTACAATGCCAAAAGCCAATCCTACTGTAAACTATGGACTTTGGGTGATAATTATGTGTCAATGTAGGTTCATGGACTGTTAACAAATGTACTGCTGTGGGGCCAAGTATCTGCAGTGAAAGACGCTGTGTGTGTGTGAATATGGATCATATGAGAAATCTCTGTACTTTCTACTTGATTTTACTAAGAATCTAAAACTGCTCTAAAAAACAAAGTTTATTCATTTTTTTAAAAAAAAAGTAAGGAGCAACTATTGCCAAAGACCTAGTCACTTACACATTCTTGATGTTACAAAAAGTATTTCAAATTTTTGAAGACTTAAAAACTAAGATTACATTTCAAATATTATTCTTGTTTTTTATTTTATGTTTATATAACACAAAGAAATATGTATTACATATTCTGATACGTCGAGCTATATTAGAATGATTTATATATTTGAATGTTGATGAAAATACAAAGTGTAGAAATCAACATTAGTAGGTAAAAACCCAACAGAGTTTAATAAATAGGCTGAGATGTGGCCTATATCCATTTGCTTTGGAATAACTGTAATAATTTTTCTAATTTGGATACAACAGCTCAAATGGGACATTAACACATGAATATTTACCTTTGAGTCATAATTTTGAAGGCATCGGGGAGGTAGCAGTCTGTATTCTCCATCTGAAATGGGTCAGCATCACAAATCTTGTCATCCGTCCGACCATAGTTAGCGCTCTCAATCATGATGACATCACTGCCCGGGCACCGCAGATCTATAGAATAACCTTCACAGGATAATTCTCGCCTCACCAGCCCAAATGGTAAAGCTGCTCTGCTGAAACCTTAAAAAAAAGAAAGAAAGAAAATTAAACTGTAACTCATTTATAATATAAATTATTTTGGTAAAGCATTTTCAAGTAACATGATGCATGTCTATCGTCAGTCATAAACTCAGGCATTTATTAAATAATTTTTTGGTTCTCTACAATATGTCAGAAAATTATTTTTATTCATCTTTATTTGGATTCTTCGTCTTTACGAAATACCCTAACAAATTACTTTCTGTATAATCGGAAACTAAATGGCTTTTTTAGTAAATCCAAATAATGACAAATTTAATCATGGATTTTTATAAACGGTGACAAATTTTACAAACAGAAAATATAAGCACTAATCAAGACAGAATTTTCATTTGTGCAATGGAATGAAAGCTCTGCTACACCCACTGGCCTTACTTTCTTATTTAATGTATACACATTAATTGCTATTGCATTATCTTAAAAAATACCTTCATCTTAGCAGTTTTTTCCCCACAATAACTAAGATATTTATGACAGTAAGATACTTATGGCACAATAACTTATTTCCATTTAAATACCCTTTATTTAAAACTGACACTGAAAGGAATCAGCAGATGGACATTCAAAGGAGCCAGCACTGCTCCCATCCAACTCAACAAATACAAAAAAAAGTACAAAATTCTCTACAATCAGTTACGTCATCTACAAAACTGACATGAAACATTTAAGACATTACTTTTCTTACCTGTACAATTCTAAAACAAAATAATGTCCATAAAAATGCTTAAAGTACATAAATATGAATTAATGTATGGTACATCAGGTAGAGAGTATAAACACTGTTCATAAGTGCTCTAAAAAAAGATTACTGAGGGAAATAATTAGCATTTTAAGTTTAAATTAGTTTCCAACCAGTAGTTCCATAAAGTAGTAACAGAACACAGGACAAAGAGCAAAAGCAAGGAAAGCCAAGAGCAGCCAAGAACAATATGTGACAAGGACATCCTTGCTGTCCTGGTGGGCTACCATCAGGCTAGCTACAAGAGCAAAACCTTCTCCTACAATGTTTCAACTTTTTTCAAGTCTCTAACCTATTACCATCTATAGCATTCCTATTACAAAAAAACAGCAATACTTTCAGTATTTCTTATCTCTATCATTTTCATCATTCTGTATTATATGCATTATCTCATATATTGCCTTTTATACAACAAAATTACACTCAGAATAAACTGTTCCAAGTTATAAACTTCCAAGCTGAAGAGCTGGGCTGTACCCAGGCCAATCCAATGCCAACACTTATTCTCTTTACCTTTCTTGAACAATGTTTCTCACTAATTCAATAAAATAGAAAGTCACCTGGTTAAACATGATCTTTTCTTAGATGTAAGTATATTCTTCCAAAGCAGTACTGGGTGACACACTGGTATGATTTTAAAGAGCAGCAATTTTCAAACCTGGCTGAGCTCTCAGTTCTTCGGAGAAAACTAAAGGTGTAACTGGGCTGAAGATGGAAGAAAAGAATACCTAATTTGGAATGCAGAAATCTTCAGGAGATTGTGGCAAACCCCAAGCTTGGTAGGTTTTCACTAAAAAGGTTTATAGTATGTTGAGAGTACTGTAGTATGTGGAGAGGTGCACTACTAATGAAGAAGGGATACAGAAATGGAGCTGGGTAAATGTGATACAGAAACAGGGCTGGGTAAATGTCAGGACAAATGGTACACAGGCCAAACTTCCAAAAGGTGTTTCTTCCCCAACAGGTTCATAAACTTTTCTATGCACACATACACATACACACACACACATACACACACACACACACACACACACACAGCTTTTTCTCCATCTCCTGATCTTGTACTGTACTACCTATACAAATAATTAAGCTTAAACTAGTATTACCACATTTGTTTTAATAGAAAATATTTTTATGGCTTCAGAAGCTGACACATTCCTGTGGCAAAGGCTATGTGAAAATTCAAACAAATGACATCAAATAAAATTTTGAAATGCAACCTATTTTAAATAGAGGCAATTTGCAATTATAATTCTATAATAAAACAGAATAAATCATATTATTAGAAAATGCTAGAAATATTAGAACACATTATTAAAAGACTGGCTTGGAGCCATACTCGCAATGCTTACTATTTTGTCAAAAACACAGAACTGATTATGAAGCACTGTGGTTTTTAAAACCCGACCACTTTAATTTTTGTTGTTGTTAGTTTGCAGGATTATAGTTATCATTCGAAGTGAATTTTCCTCTGCTTTGGAAACCTATTTGGGAATTGGCATAGTTGAGTATGTTACTGTTCTGATAATTCAGGAAGAGGAGTTTTAAAGCTTTAGTCACAGTCATCCAAAAAAGTACAGTAAGGTCTGCCGCTGTGGTTCACGCCTGCAGTCCCAGCACTTTGGGAGGCTGAGGTGGGTAGATCACCTGAGGTCAAGGGATTCAGGACCAGACTAGCTAACATGGTGAAACCCCATCTCTACTAAAAATACAAAATTAGCCAGGTGTGGTGGCGCACACCTGTAATCCCAGCTACTCGGGAGGCTGAGGCAGGAGAATCATTTGCACCTGGAAGGCAGGGGTTGCAGTGAGCCAAGATCTCACCATTGAACTCCAGCTTGGGCAAAAAGAGCCACCCTCCCATCTCAAAAAAAAAAAAAAAAAAAAAAAAAAGTACTATAGTAAGGAAAAAGAAAGGAAAGATCAGCACACTTTAATAATTTAGTAGATTACCAATACAGAATCTACTGGAGAAAAGAGATCATGATACTTGCTATCCTTTGAATATGGCTTGTTCCCATCAAACTCAAGCAGAGGCTTAGTCCCCAGTGTGGCCGTATTGGGAGGTCGTGCCCTTAACAGGTGACTGGGTCTTTAAGACAAACACCTTCTTTTACCCCTGCCACACCCCCTGAGACAGAGTCTTGCTCTGCTGCCAAGCTGGAGCACAGTGGCAAGATCTTGGCTCACTGAAACCTCTGCCTCCCAGGTTCAAGCAATTCTCCTGCCTCAGCCTCCTGAGTAGCTGGGATTACAGGCACGCGATATCACACCAGGTTAATTTTGTGTTCTTAGTAGAGACAGGGTTTCAGCATGTTGGCCAGGTTGGTCTCCAACTCTTGACCTTGTGATACGCCCACCTCCGCCTCCCAAAGTGCTGAGATTATAGGCATGAGCCACTGTGCCCAGCCCCAAAGTCTATGTTTTAAGACTGGGTTAGTTCTCAAAGGAATGAATTAGTTTTTTGCATTCCCTTGTCCTTCCACTTTTCAACCATTCTAGGAAGCAGCGTGAGGCCCTCACCAGATGTGGCTGCCCACCTTCAACCCCAGAACCCCAGAACCATAAGCTAAATAAAACTCTTTTCTTTATAAACTACCCAGTCTGAGTATTTTGTTATAGCAACAGAAATTTAATCCTACAATGTATTTTGATTTAAATCACAAAAGTTCTTTTCTAAATTCTTTCTCCTACCTGTTTTGATTAAACTTTATATATGATGATATATCTTTACTAATGTGCTTATTAACATGTGATACAGTGCACATTCACTTTTAGTGAATGTGTGTATACACACACACACACACACACACACACACACACACCCTGCTAGACTATAGTAAGGCTCTTAGTTATAATCTCAATGCCTACAACAGCACATGATACAATAATTCTTATAAATGTGGAACCAAATTGTTGAATTAAACTGGTGATTGTTTAACACAATATAAATTGCAATGTGCTTTCCTTTGTAATGTCTATTTCCTTTGGTAGTGAAAACAAATGGTGAACATTAAAAACAAGGCAAACTACTTATCAATGAAAATTATCTGCCATCTCCCAAAAAAAATTTTTTTTAATTGTCAATTTACTATTATGTATGTATCACTGGAATTGTCATAAGACAGATGGGTTATATATTTATACATTTCTCTTTATCTAAACTGTGTTTCCAACCAAAAAAATTATATATATAATGAATATATAAATTCATTAAAAAACAAAGATGAAGAGAGAAATAAATATTACTTGCAAAGCAATTACTGTGTGCTGGCACTGGCTTAAATGCTTTATATGGATCACTTTATGTTCAACAACATAAAAAATAAACAATGGAATAGTTGCTGTTATAATACCAATTTTACAGAGTATGACACTAAGGCATCAAATAGTAGTATTTTTAGGGTCTCAGTCTTAACCACAAGTTAGATTCTAACCCATGCAGGGAGCTTAGACTCCAGAACCTTTCTCTGATCAACTCTGACTACTCCAGCCATTTTCTGATAATGTAACGAGATTTATTTTATAAGTTTTCATACAATCTGAAAATCACCAAAGAATAGATTAGTAAAATTGACAGGAAGTAATTATTGTAGAGGTTCACGAAACTATATGAATAGTAGTGAAAATCGTCTTTGTAGAAACATAAACATGCGTACCATAAATATAGAGAGCAAACGCTATCCTGTAGGTACACATGGAGAGGGCACTGAACACTGAAGTATGAGTATATGGGTCAGCCTTGTGACTTTGGGCAAAGTAATTTTACTTCTCTGGGTTTTAACTAAAACCTTTTCTGCAGAATTAAAGTTATTTCAAAGTCCTATAAAATTTCCCCAGTCTGTAAGTCTAAACAGGCAAGCTCCTTTTAATCAAGTACACATGCTATTCTAACAGTTCAAGTGATCAATAATTAATAAACGACTTGCTCTGTTTTCTTAAAATATAAAGATAATGACATTGTTAACATGGATGTGCTGTGCACATCCATATAGATGATGAGGTACTGTCCAAATAATTCTCAAAAGTCTGTGACGAACTAGGCAGGGTTCACACAAATCACAGGAAAACACCTTCCTAGGTTAACTATTTTAATCAATGACTTAGTGGAAAAGAGATAATAAACACAAATCAATTATGAGAAAGTTCTCTAGTTGTGGCCATGATGGGAATGGGTGGTCAGACACGCCTCATTATACTTTCCTTTCATTGAAATTCTGGCACAGCTGACTATGTTTAACAT